TTGAAATTCTGAAGGCATAATTTGACCTGAATATTTTATGTAATTCTCCTAGAACTTTCATATAATGTCATATTTCTACCCATATTTTCTGTTTATTACAAAACAGATGAAACAAGAAATGAAGACCAAAGATTTTTCACCTACTGATTTTTTTTTAGAAAAATCATTAGAAAATGTGAGATGGTGGAAAATAAAAATGGGAAAGTTTTAAGCTTCATTCTATAAAACAAGCTAAAAAATCCAGTATGATAGGAAATAAACAGTCTACACTATGTTATACAAGTGGCACATGTTTCATATGGTCCCCAAAACTGAAAATAGAGTCTTTAGCCACTTACTTCATTTGAATTATTTTCCAGTAAAGTCATTTCAAATTGCAAGATAGATTTTTTGAGCTTTAACCATCATCCTTTCTATTTTTTTCCCATAATCTCCCCTTTCCCTTGTAAATCCTCATTCATTCCACCCATGTCTCTGCCTTTTAAGTGCACAGAATGTTAGCAAGTAGCAAAGCCCACAAGACAGATTTTGGTTATTAAATTTTTAAAGAATCTAAAGCAACTGTAGTAATTAGTACTCAATAAACTACTTGTAACTAAATAAAATTCATCTAGGTATTATCCTATATAGAAAATATTGCCTAGGGCAACCTTTCATGATAGAAATGCTACAATCTCCACATCGCTACTTATTTTAATGCCAAATTTGTATTAGAAAAAGCATTATTCACATAAGGCAAGTTAAGACTGAATTAAATCACAGTGTTTAATTTGCTTGTGGAGCAAAGATGAATTCAAAAAATCTATAAAACTAAATATGTGAAAATGATAAAAGGAAATCTCAGTAACTGGGCTGAAGATTTTTGTCTAATTAGCTGCAATACATAATTAAATTCTGTTTTACTAGCAACTGAAAAATATAGCTCTTTTAGAACTAATGAGAGAAGAGATGCATCAGGACAGGGAAACTTGTCATACATTTCAATCTTTTTCAGTATGTACTTATAATTAAATCAGGTAGAACTAGTATTAATAAAATATTTTAAAGAAATCTCACAACCGAATTGTGAGATAAGAAACATAGTATATAGTAACATAAAACAGACAGTAAGATTGTGACTATAATTACAGTATTTATTATTACTATTATCAATCATTCATTTACTTGTTTCCACCCTTATTTAATATTTTAATAGGTTCAATCAATTTTATTCTTATTATCAAAAAGCCTACAGTACAGATGAATGTATGATAGAGAGAGACAAAACTTTACTATGAAAGCCATGTAAGCTCATTGGCTGCTCTGCTAAAAATATACAATAAAGGGACAAAAATGGAAGCACAGACCTGTTATTTGGCTATAAATAACACAGGCAGGACCAATGGTGACTTGGACCAGGTGAATGAAATGGAGGTGGAACCAACAGCATTTGGTGATTTTATTTGTGGGGGGTTTTGTCCTAAGCAACTGAGGGGTGGAGTGGATTGGAAAGAATGCTAGTGGAGCACTTTTGTGGAGATTGACTAGGAGTTCAGCTGTGGACAACTTCAACAGACATGGGTAGGAAGTTGGATAAAAGAGTGTAGTTCAGGGAATAAGTCCATGATGAGTATGTATATTTGGGTGGTGTTATCATATATTTTTAGAGTCATAAAATTATTTGATATAACCAAAGGAGAAATATAGAGAGAAAAGGGAAGAAAAACAAGGATTGAACTCTAGCATATCCCAAAATTTAGTATATCATTTTGGTCGAATTGCTTTCAAGAAATGTCCTACCAAATTACACACAGGCCAGAATTACATGATAATGTCAGTCACTACAGCCTTTGCTAAGATTGGGCATTATCTTTGGCAATTTGACATGTTAAAAATGGTCTCTTGCTGTTTCAGTATTTATTCATTGTAAGTGAAAATAAGATTTTTTTTGTATGTTTATTAGTAATTTGTATTTCTGTCTTCTATAAATTATCTACTCAGTTCATTTTCTCCCCAGGTATTCTAATTCTCATTGATTTCCAAAATCACTTTATATATTAAGGTAATTTACCTTTAAAATTGTAATATTTGTCACAAATGCTTTATCTCATCTTCATTCTCATGGTGTTTTATCTAAGTGATTTTACATTTTCTAGCCAAATCTACTTAACAGTCACTTTGTTGTATATTCTATTGCTTTAATATGTGCAAAGATAAATATATTCACATATTTTCTTTTAGGGGTTTATGGTTTCTTATTTCTTACATTTAACTCTCAGTCCTTCATTTATATCATGTGGGAATAAATGTGATATTTATTTATTAATAAATATTAATTTATTAAATATTTTCTTAGAATTTTAGCTCATTTTACATACATAATTTATATAAATATGTAATTAAATAATATGTCAGTTCCATTTGTGATGTGTCCTTTAACATACATTCAGTTCTTATCTATAGTAAAGCCTAGTTCTGAAATATTTATTCCTACTCATTGTTTTAGCTACTAATTCTTCTGTCTATACTTCAATACTTTATTATTACATTTTAAAGTAACATATTACACTTTAAAGTAAAATATTATCTGTTTGTCACATAACTAAATACCTAAATGCCTAACAGGCATGTGGGTTGTTAGGATCTGTACTAAAAACAGAGGATTGGATGCCAATTTTTGTATTCTTCCTGTCCAGTATAGCATATGGTGTATAGTCTAAGACTGTATCTTTAAGTTCAGCCTTATTGGCTACACTTTTAATGGGATCTGCCAAATCCCCTTCCTAGACCCAGACCTTATCATATGTCTCTTTACTTATAGTGCTCTTACCACTAGTTCTTATGCATCTGGGTGGAGATTTTCTTAGCACACTGGAAGAAATCAATATAGACACAGAGAGTTTATTGCCACATTAAATTAAACTTTAGATATGTTCTATACATGCACAACAAAATTCTCATATTTACCACAGTTATTTAAATCTGCTTCTGTTATTAGTCAAAACTACTGTAAGGATTCCCCATTCATTTAGGAGTGACATCCATAATTTTTTCTTACTCAAAGCTAATTCATTTAATATTTTTACTTATTTAAAAATTATTTTATTTGAATTAAAATTGTATTTCACCTTCAGTATTAGCCTCCCCATCTTTTTCCCTTGTATTCCAGTTTCCACACTCTACTAAAGAGAAGTACATTTATTTCTGTGAGCACAAATGATAAATAAACAAAACAAAGAAAAAGTAGTAAATAATAAGAACCCCCAGAAATCATTCCTTGCTTCATGGCATGTACACTTCCAGGCTGGTGTATTATACCCTCACAAGGCTTGCAGCTGAACAGGTCTGGGAAGGGAAGCTTGTGAGAATCTAGTCAGTTCCATTCTTGAACCAACCCAGCATCTGGGAATACAGAGAACGGGGACTCATACATATGGCACATACCAGACCTGTGGCACAGGCTCTGGGTCTGGCTCTTTTCTAATGTAATGTGCCATTATTCCATTATTTTACTCGTGTTTTCTGTCAGCTACCACATGACCCCATTGCATTTTTCTGGAAAGAAAAACTTCTGACTGAGATGGTGACTGACAAGGTGATCTCAGGCTCACCGAACGTGGACCTCAAAGGACAGCCTGCATTTCACGTCCTAAACACTGCCTGTTGCTTGCATCCCTGAGGAAGACTCTGTGCTGCCTTTGGGCACTCAGGCATACCCGAATCAAATTCCACAGCAATGTGGTTTGACCTTTTCCTCTCTGTGCTCATACATTCCACTTCAAGTGGCTGTTTAAGTAGAAAATTAATACTGCATCTTGTAAAATATTGAAAGAGGAACAATTTTCACTCTCATGATTCCTCTACATAACTGCCCTAGTATCTCATCTACACTCTTTCTGAAGGCTTCTCTCCCTCAGCTCCTCCACTCCACGTCTATTCCCTAAATGCTTCCTCAACCTTCTCCTCCTGACAACACTACCAACTTGCTCTGGCATAAAACTACCTGCTGAATCATGTAATTCTTCTGAGTGGACATCCCCTTTGCTCATTTGTTCTTTCCCTTTAACACTGAAAGGTGACTGCTGAGTAGATCTTGAAGAAAACCTACAAGTCAGTCTCATATGTTAAAAGAACAAATCAAATTTGTGAGAAATGGCAAGGAAGGTGATGTGCTGTCTGATTATTATAGGTCAAAATCAGTGCCTAAAACTAATAGTGTCCACTGATGCTTATAAAGGAAAATCATTCAAGTTTGGTTTTCTTTAAAACTTGTGCACAAGCCCTATTTGTCATTCCCTATATTTGATGTGAAACACCCAGGTGTAGGAAGTGAGAATTTATTAATTTTTTTGTGTTTGCTTATTTATTTATTGTGAAAAGGTCTTTGGGTCCTTCTTTGCCCCTAATATGACATAGACAGGAAAATTTTAAAGAGATTCCATGAAAACACAAGCAAAAATTAGAGATGTCAGATGAATGGGGAGGATGGTATCCAATTCATATATTTTTGAAAGGAAAAGAGGAAAATAAAGAATTATAAGTCGCTTTATAAACATGTGAAGGAGTTGGGGAGAGACTTAAGTGGAGGATAGCATAGAAGAAATATAATTTCTTAGCCCACAGTGAAGAAAGTTTCCTGCTATATTTTAAATGGCAAAAGGTCAAAGGAGAAATCAAGAATAAAATCTAACACCAGAAATGGCAGCACTGCTAAGAATTTTAGAGGAATGCAGCAAATTACTCTGAGTGGCAATGAGAGCATTTTAGAGAAATGGAATAATTACTTATTTTCAGGAACCACAATTTCTAAATTGAGTGTGATGACTAGTACTGATTGATAATTAATGGTTGAGCGCTTTGCACCTTCTAAGCCCTCAATACATAAAATAATTGATTGGTATGTCATTTATGAAATACAGAGTAACATTTACAAAGCAGTTATACAGGCAATATGTGAGTGGGATAGCTACCAGCATCTAAAGGCTCTAAAGAAATAGAAAATAAGCAATAATAACCCATACCTTCTCTGTGTCAATGCCTTTTGACATGGACCATGTTGACACAATATAATCCATGACTCGTTCACTAAGGCCTTTGGGGACCTGATAGAGTTTCAGAAAGTCCCGTACATTATTCAGCATCTCATGGTATCGGTTGGTGTTGGCATACATTTGCTGGAAAATTGTGGTAACATTTCCAAAAATAGTTGCATAAAGAAGAGCTGCAAGAGAGGAAATTATGAAAATAAAACAAATATCCCAATTCAAAAAGTAATATGAATATTGGCCAAGTCAATGAATCATTTGACAGAGATGTCTCCCTAAACTATAGGGTCTAATGCATGTTAACCCCTGAGAAGAGAGCATGGATTTGGTGTTGCTCTGTAAATGTACATTCAGTACAATAAATATAATTTTATGAGCATGCAGCACTCTAGTCAATGTGGCAAAACATGAGAGTAGCTAATAGATTTTGTAAAGAACTAAATGTTCCAAAGTTATAACTTGCCTAAGAAATTCTAGCCTTATGACTAAAAGTTATCCTCCAGCCTTGTCTTCCCAAAGGAAGCCTAATCAATTTAAATTTCCTGGGATTGATGATCCAGTTTATGAATGCATGCTCTTTCTTATTGCTTGCTTCTTCCAGCTTCTATAATATATCCCTGCTTATGAATATTTTTGACAGAATATCAGAAATAAAAGGAATGGAGACAAATTACAGTGCTCCATTTTTATAAGATTCTGAAGTGAAAGGGGTTAGAAATAACAGCTAAAATAAAACTTCAGGAGTACCTGAAATTTCAGTTATTAAACTCATGTCAGTATCCCAGTGTTACAAGTTTTTTTTATTATATCATTTTAACTAAGCATAAAGCCAATTTGCAAACTATTGTTATTTATTGACAGGGACCTGTAGATAAATGGACAGGGTTTTTTAGTGCCCTTGACTGCTACTCCCTCCTTCAACCTATAATTTACCAAATCTTTTCACTCCAGATCTGGTCAGGCTACCAAAGTTGATCTGATCTTATAAAAGCTTTTAAAGGCAATGAGTTCAACCCAAATTCAGCATATCTCCTATCACACACCACTCACCCTATTCTGTCCTTTTAGTATCATTCCTTTGTTACTAGAAAGCTCTTTTGAAAAGGAGGTAGTACTTTATGCCCTTTAATATTTGATAAACACAACGTTTAGTGACCGCATATATTGCATAAGCATTTCACAAATAAGTGGAATATCAGACAATGATCACTTCCATTCTATATCCTCCAAGCATTTGAAAAATGATTCCTCTAAATAAAGAGTGGGCAGTTTCATTTTCCTGTTTCATTGACTGAATCCCATTTGATGGGAGTGGTATAAAATCGAGCTAGTGAAGCACTTAGTGTATTTTCAGGAAAACATTTGGTTTTTTTTAAGAATAATTGTTCTTTGAATATAACAAATTATAATTTCATAACAAAAAGCTATGTATTTATAAGCATTTACCCAGTTAAAGCTGAGTATGAAGAATATATTGCTGATATTTCTCAACTGGGTGTTTAAAACTTTGAATATTTATACTTAAAAACAAAAATAATGTGAACAAATTAATGGTAGAAGAATCATATAACATGAAACATTGTGCTTTCAGAAAAGATAAAGATAATTTATGGTTTTAAAATAATGAGAGCTTTAGAAGTTAACGAAATAATGTTTGAATAGTGTCCAGCTATTTTAAGTCATCAATAAATAAAATAAATATCACAGAACTACCTATTATTTTGACATGTCTAATTTGTCTGGCTCCTTGAGGTGCTTGCAATATGTTATATTTAACTAAATATATAAATATAAATATATAAAGTATCCTACTACTACCTTTTAGTTTAACAAATCATCACACATTTCACTTTTTGGAGTACATTGAAGATGCACACATTCTGCTCATATAAAAAGTTAATACACTAACATATGAATAAAACTGCCAATGTATTAAAAGTCTGCAACATTAGCAAATGGAAAGTATAATCAATACCCATTTATTTGGCATATGACAAAGTTACCCACTTCTGCCTCCCATTTTCATGTGAGTTGGTGTCCTAAATAAGGTCATAACTTAAAGACAGATGTTCAATTCTACATATATATATTTTTTAATTTCTTTACTTTGAAATAAGTTGGAAAAATTATGCAAATAGTTCATATGTACCCAACATGCAGCTTCTCTCAATGATGGCATCTTATACAACTACAGTAACTTTTCAAAATCAGGAAATTGACCATGGCACAACACAATCAAATAAACTATAGACCTTATTCATATTTCACAAGGTTTTTATATATACTCATTTCTCATGTATACAATTTTATAAAATTTTCATATGGACAGATCTGTACGTCTATGTATATATCTATGATATATGTACATTTTAAAAAAGAGAAACACTTCTTCCTTAAAATTATTCTCAACACTTAGGACTAGTATACATTTCAAAAAATTTAGTGAAAGCAAGTATATTCCACATCAAGCAACAACACTATTTCCCTCTGTAGTCTGGGTTCCCAGGAAAAATGGGCACATCTTTAATGAGAGAGGCCCTGGGACATAACAATGATGGGGACATAACAATCTCAGTAGAAACCACATCATTGCCACTAACTCCCAAAGTAATACTTCTTTCCTGAATTGCAGGCACACATATTTCTTGGAAGTCTAATAGCCTTTCAAGTCAAACATTTCCAAAAAAAAGAACTCTTAATTTACAACGCCCTCTCTCCAACCACCAAATGTACTTTTCAACTCAGTAAATTGCAAAGCCACACCGAGTTGCTGAGACAAAAAACTACAAAGTCCTCCTTCAACTCACTCTTCAGTTCATCCCCTACATCTAAGCCATCAACAATTCCTGTTGGTTCCACCATCAAAATAAAACCTCAATTCAACCACTTCTCACTACCTCTACCAGCATCCTTGCAAAGTCTTTAAGAGTACATGCTTTCCCACTTAATAGCTGTGTGCCTTTGGGCCAGTAACTAAACTTGTCTAGGCTTCCATTTCCTCACTTATAACTTTAAAATTACACTAGAATTCTTTACAAAGAGTGTGTTAAATGAGATAACTCATAGACAACAGTTAAAACGTCCAACAGGGAGTAAACATCCATGAAAGGTTATGCATTACTGTCCTCAATATCATCAAAATACCTTCCAAACTTTCCCACAGCAGAAAAATGAGATGATCTTGGCCCTCCTCTATTTTAAACCTTTCCCATCACACTTAGACTTAAATCCAACATAGTCATGGTCCCAGCCCACATATAATCAGAGTGCTGCCTCCCTCACTGATCACTGATCCCAAGTCTTCCCTCATGTTCTCTGTGCCAGTTGGAGCTTCTTGATGCTACTCAAACATTCTAAATTATTGACTCTTCAGGGCCCCTTCACTAAATGTTTCTTCTGCCTACAACACACTTCTCTAAGATCTTCATGTGGTCTATTTCCTCTCCCCATTCAGGTCTCTGCTCAAAACCCAGCTCATCACAGAGGTCTTCCCTAACTACCTAGTCATAGTTCAAAAGATTGAATGATGCCAATATAACTAATTACAGATTTCATTATTCAGTCAGCATTGGTGAATTTAGTAGATATTTATTGAACACCTATTATATACCAGTGCCTACACTAGCCACTAGGAATATGGTGATAAATAAAATGACAGATAAAACCCCTGCTTTCAAGTAGTATCCACTACTTCTTACTGAGAAGTATTAGTCTTCAGTTCTCCCAAATCACATTCTTTGAAAGAAGGCTAATGATCTTTTCCAGTACATAGTTTATAAAAATTGACAAATGTATAGCCATTCCAAGTATATGAATTAAACAGCTTATTTCTCATGGTTAAACAGTTTTCAGAGTCAAACAAAAAAATCTATGTTCAGCTAACTAATTGTAACTCAGCCTCTACTCTTATGAGTTGCTCACGAAAACAGGTAAGGATGATATCCAGGTCTCTCCAGGAGTGTTCTCTAGTCACTTCATTTTGTTTGCTTCTTAGGGCAAGCTGCATCCATTCATCTCATTAGTGATTTGTACTTTTTAGATTTTTGTGGCTATTCATGATGACATCCAACATTTACCTCTCCTAATTATCATCCTTTTATAAATCTTGGCAAGTTAGCAATGGCTTTAGGCTGAGTACCTTAAATATTGATAAGCGAGGATGCATTTCTGGTAATTATTAATGCCATGTAGATGATTCAGCTATTTCCCTTCCTATTTGCATTCACTAAAGTCCACCCTTACTAATATTATTTAAGATGTGAAAGGAAAATGTTCCATCAATATATGATTATATGTGTTGCTCACAGCCTGTTAAAATATCTGGTATTATGCCAGTTGGCCTTAGAATAAAGTGAACAAGTTTATGTTCAGAAACCTCTAGTTTCAAGGTCTTTCTCTCCTCCCAGCTCTCTCACAATGGTTCCTTGTCTCTCTGGATGCCCCATACGTATAGGCACCCTCCAGGCATTGACTATGAGCCAGACATTTTCTTCTTCCCAGTCTTCACTATCTATGCTCCATCCTATCTAGCACCCAAACTATGCCAATTATCCCATTAGAAACTGATCTCATTAATTACTTTATGTTAGGTTCTAAATATTGAAAACCAGTTAATGTACTATCCCTCTCAGGGATGTTGGAATTTTGAAGGGGGAATTCCAGGTAATATAATGAGTTACTTGAATCATTATTTGTATTAACTGTTAACTAGTAAGATAAATTTAGACAGAATAAGGGATAATATTTAGAACTTAACAAATTACGGCATAATATTTGATAGGTTTCACCAGCATACAGCTGATCCATGATTGTCGTAACAACTGACTATGTTAAAATGTTCTCAATGGGAATGATGTCCTTATTATTTCCTACATACTCCAAAGAATCACTTAATTTTAGGAAATTAATCATAAATCTATGTTGATCAATATGTAAATCAACGATGAAGAAAGGGAGGGAGAAGAATGAATGGAATGATGTAGATGACTGTTAATTCAAAAGAACTGTAAGACAACATAAAGTAAAAACAAAGAATTAAAGGATCAAAATAGCTTGATTTAACCTTTAACTTTCTCTGATAGTTATGCTATATTTATGCTAAGTAAATACATTTTCTTTATTCTTTAATTGAGCACAATTCATTTGGACTTCAAATAAAATTAGTACACTGACTATA